GGTCCGACTCAGAATCTGTATAAGTGCATTCGACAATATTAGCTAGTGCGGCCTCTGATATTCTAGAACTAACTGTTGCTACGCGAAACGGTCGTGACCTTTGATCCGTAAACTCCGTGTGAGTTTTGTGCGTTAACCTTATACCCAGCAATACTTAGTGGCTTCTGTAAGTTAGTTAATCGTACGATAGAGTTAATTGACTGTCAACGTAACGAAAGAAGAAAGTGACTGTGGACAACCTCGGAAGGCCCCCTCAAGTTGGAGCGGTGTCGACGCTCGGGCTGCTGCCGACGTCCAAGGTCTAGGTTCAATCACCATCAGTCACACCCAGATACACATCACATCACATATTTCCCTTTCACTACACAACCACATGTGACCTGACCGACTCCGGAGGGACCAGTCGCCTTGGATATAGGTAAGTAAGCTCCGTCTAATTCCTCTGCCGGTCGACTGGCCGTAGTATAGAACGCTCCCCCATATATTTTAGTGTAATTCGAGAGATTCCACGTGGCCACATTGAGGCCCGACCTACGTCTGCTCGGGAAGTCTTCTGCTCATGGGCCCCAGAAGATTGGACCCTTTAAGGGAGCAGCCGTAGGCCGTAACAACTACTAAAGATTACATGATTGGTAATAACCCCTGGGATTGAGGATCATCTCACTATAAAATTTAGTGACAATACAGCCAATAAAAACACACGTTGAAGTATAATGAGGACAAATTAGATAGCTATGAGTATCTTGATAAGGAAAGTTAATGTTCCTCAATGCATTTGATAGCGATCAAACTACCATGCTGTTTCTAAATGTTTTCGTACTTAAAAGGTCCCGCTGGGTTTCTTATTGGTTCTTCCCATAAAAGAGTTTTTCCGAAACAGTGGTAATGCTTTAATGACTTTAAATAAGTATTCTTGTAATCTATATTGAATAAAATTGATTATATTCTATTCTACTTTATTCTATTCTATTCTAATCTCAAGTAGAACCAACATGCGTGTATTGTAGTATTGGGAGTGTCTCCATGGTGTCTTAAGACGTTCAACCACACACGCCAAGAAAAAAGAATTGTGTAGTTTTTTACATAGTTCCAGCCATACTACAGCTACATTATGGTTGGAAAACGAATGTTTCGGCTCGACCGGGTATCAAACTCTCAAAGAATACCAGCGTAAAATAGCAGCATAATGCTGATTTGTTTCGTATAATGAATGAAGAGAACCAGATACCTTTTTTACTGGAAAGGAGGCATTCCATCTCATTCCATCTATTCATGGGTGACAACGCAACATCTGCTTTTGAGTCTATTCGACGATAGATGGGGATATCTATGGGAAACAGTATCTAATTATTATTAGGTGAACTGAGTCACAACTCAGTATTCGTTTGTCATCCTTAGCGTTACCGTAACTGCCTATCAAAAGCACACTGCAGAACTCTATATATATAATAGGCCTCCTCCGCTAGAGTCTAGATAGTTTCATTTGTCATAGTTTCCACACTTGGCGGACGGATTGGCAACCGCAGTTTTTTGTCGTTATTAGGATAACGCTGCTGTACATCTTACTTTAAAAAATTAACTCTGCTTTGCAGTATAAAAGACGCTGAGGCACACACAATTCTACTAGATCCCAAAAAACAAGTATTTGCAATTGGTATTTATTTATTTTTTAAGATTTGAATAGCGGATCCGCGTAGAAGTACGATTCTTATCCCACGCAAATAATCATTATAATGTAATAAAAAAATATGAAAGTTTATATCATTACTATTTAAAGGACTAAAGCCATTTCGAAGGGAGCATGGTGGACAGGAAAATTAATGAGAATGTACGCCTCAATGCACAAGGACTCTTCACGAATTTCAAAATGATCAGTGAAACGTGGAGTGCGAAAACATGAACGATGAAGGAAAACATCGTGATAAAACATGTATGACTGAGAAATAAAAAAAAAATTTGAAGACACTTGAAGTTCCCCTACACGCATTACGGCAGCGCGGCGGACATTTTATTCACCTAAAACCCTCTCAGAAATTATCACGGATAAATGAATAAAATTATGATACATATACTAATAATATTCTAAAGCTTGCATATATAAATACACACTCTGTTGATGTACTTTATAAATAAATAAATAAATAGTAGTTAATTTTACGGGCTAATAATGATGTAAATGTTGTATATGTTGTAAATATATATGGTTTTACATGCCGTACATAATAATATTGATAATGTCCGCCAGGCCAAATTTCTGTCATGGCGGCTGGTCCCTACGGGACTAGCCATCAGCGCATAACAGGAGTACTGTGCCTGAGTACATGCGCTAGAATAGGTCAACTCTCTATTTCTTCATTCTTATAGTCCAATAGGATGGCAACCTATACGATCGTAGGGTGATCAGGTACAGGACCAACGCCTTCACGTCCTATCCAAAGCACGGAGGTGAAACACAAATTCCTTCCTCCAGGCTGCTACTGAGAATTTCTTGACAGAAAAACTATTACATTCCATCTTAATCCTGTAAGGTGAGAGCGTATCTGTGATTATCTTTGTGTGAAATTGGTTGTCATGACCATGGGCTACAGTACCGTTTACCATCAGGTTGACTGTAAGTTCGTTTTACTGATACCTATGTACGTTTGTGGTTCTTGATACTCTTAAATCTGGTAGAGCCATGCTGCTGCTATATTATTGTTGCAGCACGAATGGATTTGCTAGACCGGGGAAGGACCACGCTCTCACAGAATACCAACGTAAAATAGCAACTTGTGCTACTTTACTTTGTGTTTCGTATGGTGAGTGTCGAGAACCGGAGACCGTTTGTACTGAAAACGAGGCATTCTATCTTAGTACTCAGGGGTGAAAACGCATTTGGATTTTGATTTTTAATAGAAGCTAGATCTAGGTTTCTGGCCACAGTATAAACATAATATAATTTGGACTGTGTGCTCGCTTGTTACCCTTATTATTAAAAAAAATTGAAATATTTGATTAGATAAAAAATCTCATCATCACTATCAGTGCAACACTTCACTTCACAAGTCCCGTGCTGAACATATTTATTGGTTTAGCACATGGTCGATCTGTGTGCCGATATATTCCATTTATACTTGATTGACTAATGAACCTTAAAACGAGATGTACCGTCTAGGGCATTGTAAGAATATCCACTACCCTATGTTGTCTCATGGATGTCATAAGAGGCAACAAAAGGAAACAAACCAAGGGTTTGGCAGCAGCATATTCGTAATAAAAATTGGCTAGCCCATTGCCACTTCAGCTTACTGATCCGTTGGACTATGTCACTTACTCTGGTTCTACTGCGAATATTCTCTTTTAGAAATCTATCACGCAGAAAAACTCCGAGCATTGCCCTCTCTGTAGCTCACTGAGTGAATTTGTGCTTCACATACGGTTAGGAGTGGAAGATCACGTCCCAGATCTATATTTTGTTGAAAAGAATAAAAATTATGCAATTCTTAATTTAACAACAAATTGTTATTTTTTATATTTATTTCACCATTATCATAGTTTGAACAGCCGTAGTACCCCTAGAGACAATTGTCAGAGAAGCTTGTTTCTCCGTTATAGCCTATCAAAGTCCATCGCTTAACACTGGCTTCCCCACAGAATGCTTCATAGGGGCGGGGGGGGGGGGGGGGGGGGGGGGCGGATGTCGTTGCTACGCTTAGAAGGCGGGTTAACAATCGCAGTTTTTTTTAATTTCTACTGTAAAGACGCTGCTGCCCGTTTCCTGGTTTCTTTCTTTTTGTTGAGTCTTACGACACACGCACACGGGACGATATGAATATTCTTAAACCGCCACTACACGGTAATAGCAGTGCATGACCAACATTTCTGCTTATGTGGTCACAAAATGACAGTAAAACACCCACAATGCTTGCTTCAATTAACATTTAATAATTCCACAACGCTGCACGTAATTAGTAAATGTTTTACCAATAAGCCCAAAAGTTGGTTAATGCGTTTAAACTAGCGTTGGTAAAAAACTACAATTTATAAATATCTGTACCTACATATAAATTAAATTGAAATATATGTTTGTTATATCGAAATAACTGCCTTGTGTCGAGCTCAGGGGGTTATTTGTATGCCAAGATAGGAATAATTCTTAGCAAAATTACTGTCGGTCTGTTGTCCGAGTTAATCGTCAAGAACGCTAAACCAATTGCGATGAAATTTGTCAAACTGATAGAGAGCACTTCCATAATCCATGTTATATTTTATCCGAAAAAATTTATATTTTTTTAATAATCGCAAAATTGTTAAAATAAATATAAGGCCACGTTAATAGATCCTACCCAGGCTAAGGCAGGGCGGGTCGCTAGTCTCATATATTATCATAAATAGTATTTGAAAATTTTCACTATTTTATTTCATTCATGACACTCTGTAAGAAGTCCACTCATGAGCATGGCCTAACACATAGACTGCCTAATCAGGATTATTTTGTCATAGTTGTCTCACTTGAGAGGCTAATCTGTAACGGCAGTTTTTTTTTTATTATTTTCTGTTGTATCAGGAAATTTCACTGTCCATTTCTTCTTTCAGTTTCTCTCTGTCACCTCTTACGACACCTACGGGATGATATACACCTGTGTGTACTGCATTTTTAAATCTCTTTAAGCATTTTTAAGACTCTAAAAACGACGGAACGACATCACGGACGCGTCGATGCACTGATAAGCTGTTACTTATAATTGCTTAAATAATATTTTTAACGCAATATTTTAGCTTAAAGTTTATTTATTTGAAAGTTAACATAACATTACATATCAGTGAGTGTTTTACAGCAAATTAGTGCAGTTACTAGTTACTAAATCAGTGAATATAATCAACTTACTTATGTGACTTACCTACATACTTTTGCTGCATACACCTCCGTACTGATTACTTTACTGAACTGATTATAATACATCCAGTGCCTTCAGTGGGTGAGTGGAGTATATAAGATATATGAACTGTGCTTCTTAAATATGGTTAAAGGTGGAGCTTGTGGTAAATTACTTTCTACGGCAGAGGCCGTTAAATGTGGACAATGTCCAGTATTATATCATCGAGCTTGTGTAGGACCGAACGCTCTAAGGTTAATGAACGCTGGCAATGTACAGAGTGTAAAAGGACTATACCAAAGGGTAACAACTCTTCTACTCCTGTTAGGAGCATGGTCACAGAGAGTGAAAATTTAAAGTCTGCAATCTCCGGAACAAGAAGTGCCTCAGAAAATATGGCAACCAGCTCCCCTGAGTCTTTTCACCAGAAATTGATTCCGGAAATTCGGCTTTTCAGAGAGGAACTTTGTAGGGTCAGGGAGGAGCTAAAGGATTTTCGGAGGGATATGGTTGAACTGCGGGAATGTTTAGTGATTAATAATAAAATAATGGATGAAATGGAGGGCAGGATTAGCATTCTACAGCAGAAGACTCAATGCAGCAGGTCTGTCGAAATAAATGAGCTCAAACAAACCGTTTCTCGACTCACGAGTGAGCTTAATGATCGAGAGCAGGAGTTGCTTGCGGCTGACCTTGAGATCACAAATATTCCGGAAGAAAGAACTGAGAACATCACTCATACGATCGTGGTGATGGCTGCCAAGCTCGGAGTATCGCTGGACGAGAGGGAAATCGTGTTTGTGGATCGTGTGGGTGTAAGGAATCAGGGTGACAGTGCAGATGAAGGTTAGGCGGGGTGCAGGGTTAGTGCAGGGGATAAAGGGCGGGGACGACGCGTGGTGGTGCGCCTAGCGCGCCGCCAGCTGCGCGACGAGTTGTTACGAAGCGCACGCGTGTGACGCAATGCTACCACCGCTGATCTTGGTCTGCCAGGTCCACCTTGTCGCTTCTATATTAATGAGCGTCTCTCAAGAGCTAATCGTCAGCTATTCTACCGGGTTCGGGAGGCAACAAGGCAACTGCGGTGGAGATATTCATGGACCAGACGTTGTAGAATCTATGCTCGTCAGGAAGATGGGAAGACTGCTCATTGCCTCCGATCTGAGGCAGATCTGATCCGTGTTTTGGCAATGATGCAGTTAGGCCACCTTCAAGTTAATTTAAGGACGTTGCTATTTTTGAATATTATTTATATGTGTACACGCATTCATATTTTTTATCCTGGATGTAACTCTTGTTTTAAAACGTATACTTTTTTAGTATGATTTTTCAGTACGCTACGTTTAAGCTGTGTAACCTTTTAATTTGTTATGTTACTTGTGTTCACTTTAGAATTTATACTTTATATTATTATCGGCCAATTGCTATAATACTTTTTACGTTAATATTATGTATAAGCTACAAAAATGTTTGGTTGTAAGATTTGTGAAAAATAACAAATTTAATAGTGGTAAAAATATTCATAGTCATCAAATACTTATACCGCTACAGTTGGTTTACATACATTATAATTCATACTCAATACCAATAATTGTGAAAATTGCACTCCTAAAATTCTATTAAATTATATAATTATGTTAAATATGTTATATTACATTACATACTGTGATCGCCTATTTATATATTATCCAACCAACTTAATAAAAGTGAAAAACAAATTACTCAAAATTGGTTTGTTTAATGCTGGGTCGCTGGGTACACGCCAAAACGAATTTATAGCTGCTCTAGAGGACTCCCAGGTTGACATCATGGCAATAAATGAAACATGGTTGAGGGAGGGAGAGGAAGGCCGCGCTCCCGTTGTGCCCGCGTATCGGCTGCGGCACGCGCCGCGGCCGACTGCCGTGCGTGGCGGCCGCGGAGGTGGTGTTGGCTTTTACATACGCTCGGGGATAGCAGTGCGTACTTACTCGCATCCTTCCTCCACCAACATCGAGCAAATGTTGCTTTCTCTTACGATCAACACGCAGAAAATTATGATTGGTACAGCTTATCGTCCCCCTTGGCTCGATGTAAATATTTTTCTGGATGCTCTCACTTCATCTATCGTTTCATTCGCAAGAGCAGACAAAATCATCCTTGTAGGCGATTTCAATATAAACTTGCTTAAAACTTTAGCTTTAGAGTCATCTACTCTAAAGCTAAACTTCTTCATAGTTTTCTCAATTATACTCGTCTATCTCAAGTTATTTCTGAGCCTACACATTATACAGACCACAGCGAAACTCTCATTGACTTGGTATGCTCCGACATTGGTGTTTGTAATAATACAGTGTCAAATATACCACAATTGCAACATGCATTAATAACCGTACAATTTACAATTAAAAAGAATAAGGTTATAGCCCGTAAGGCTTACATTCGTCCACTTAAGTAGATTTTGTTAGACCATTTTAATGCAGATTTAAACAGTATTGATTGGGATAGTATTTTATATCTCAACGATGTTAATGATATGGTAGCAATATTTAATTCATTTATAATAATGCTTTTTGACCTTCATGCCCCAATTAAATTAGTACAATTGAAAAAACAATGTCACCAATGGATTACTGATACAGTTAAAATTATGATGAGGTATCACGATGTATATATGGTATAAGGTATGTACATCATAAGGTATGTATGATGTACATACCTTATGTATCGAAACAATTATCTCATGCGATATAAGAAAACTAAACTAGATAAATATTATAATTCTATACTTTACTATAAAGATTTAAAAAACCTTGTGACTAATACTATTCATTTTGAAAAGGAAGCATATTTTGAAACGTCTATCAATAAAAACTTAAGTAACCCTAAAGCTCTTTGGAGAAGTATAAAATCTAATATTATTACTAAGGAACAGGCTGAGATAAATTTACCAGATCATTGTAATAACCCTGATATAATAAATAAACATTTTTTGAATATTCCCGGTAATGATAATAAAACCTTTCACAACTAACTTTCTATGAGTTTAACAGATATGGACCAGGTATTTTCCATTTTACTACTACAAATGAGGAGCAAGTAGCTAAAATTGTCCAAAATTTGAAATCTAACGCCCAAGGTGTGGATCAGATAACACTTGATATGTTGCTTATGACACAGCCACATACTTTGAAAGCTATTACTGCCATTGTGAATAAATCTATTACCACCTCCACCTTCCCCAATCAATGAAAATCAATCAATCAAAACAGCTGTTGTAAAGCCTATCCCAAAGAAAAAACAAGCTACCTCTTTAGAAGATTTACGCCCTATAAGCATCTTGCCTTGTTTGTCTAAGGTACTAGAGAAAGTGGTCTGTACGACGTTAACTGAATACTTAGAGCAACATAAAATCTTACCTCGGTTTTCGTAAAGATCATAGCACCACAACAGCAATTATTGATGTTGTCGACAACATACTAACAGCCCAGGATAAGGGAATGGGCACAATACTTACTCTTTTAGATTTCTCACGAGCATTTGATTCTATTAATTGTACTCTTCTACTGTCCAAGTTATCTTTTTATGGATTTGATTCTTCTACAGTTAAATGGTTTCATAGTTACTTAACAGATAGATTGCAATACGTTAATATAACGAACCATGATGGCACAACACTTATGTCTAGTATACGTACAACTATACGTAGTTACTCGCGGTGTCCCACAGGGGTCCATCCTAGGTCCTATTTTATTTATTTTGTATAGTTCAGACATTATTAACTGTATAAAAGAATGTGAGTATCATTTATACGCAGATGACTTACAAATATATAAATCTTTTTACCCTCGAGATTGTGAATCTGCTGTCAAATCATTGAATGAAGATCTGAAACGTATTTTGTTATGGTCCAAGCAAAATTCTCTTGTGCTAAATCCACAAAAGTCAAAATTTTTAATACTAGGAACAAATAAAAATATTCAAAATATATCACTGTTTCAGCCAGTAGTTCTAATTGACAATGAACCTATTCAGCAAGTCTCAGAAGCACGAAATTTAGGTGTAATATTTGATTGTAGTTTGCGCTTTGAAAGTCATGTACTTGAGGGAGTGCGCAGTTGTTTTTATCATTTAAAATTAAGTACCAAGTTCGGTAGTATCTCAGTGTAGATATGCGGATACGATTGTGTGAATCATTAATACTGTCCAAATTAAACTATGCAGATGCAGCCTATGGACCACGACTGTTGAGAAGAACAGAGAAGCTTATACAGTGGGTGCAAAATGCGTGTACTCGCTTTTGTTTTCCTGTCCCGCCTCGAAGTCATGTAACGCCTTATTTAAACGACGTTAATCTTCTTAAGATGAGCGCCCGGAGAAAATTACATCTTGCTACTCTATTGTTCTCGACAATTATAAAGCAGAGACCGGTATATCTTTTCCAAAAGTTGAAATGGGCCCGAGACCAAAATAAATATAATACAAGAGCTTTCCTTCACTCCCTTGTAACAACTCGACACCGTACTGCTGCATTTCGAGGCAGCTTCAAATTTGCAGCAACTCACTGTTGGAATGATTTACCTCCACCTATTCGTTTCCTAAAACATTAAGTAGTTTTAAAAAGAAATTAAAGTTGCATTATTTGGTACAACAAGTACAAAATACGTAATAACTGTCTCGAACGTAGGAACCTACGATGATAGCAATATTTATATTTGTTCTACACTTTTCATGTTCGAATATTATTGATTATTGATGTTGTTTCTGTTATATATTTCATGAATGATTATTTATTAGTTTCAATCTTATTTCTTTTTTTTTCTTCATTTTTTATTGCTTTAAAAATCCAGCAGGTCTCCTAACATGGCGTGTCTCTTTGAATCAGAATATTAAATTATCTACTTTTATTAAAAAAGTAAAAGTTGTCTCCCCCATAGAGTAGTCAGAATAGTCAAATATCATGTTAATATTGTATGTATAAGTATATAAGTAGGTATTATTTAAATATATAGTAATATAACACACCTGTTACCTAGGTTTAGTCTCAGTGCATGTGTGAATACGTTATATAATATGTTAGCACTACCTTTTAACTCGTAATTGTTAATAGATAACTATGAATTCGTATATAACTCTTAGTTGGAAGATCACACACCGACTTGTCTGTGAAGTCACAAGGCTCCAACTGAAAACCAGCGCTGTATTTGCAGCATTATGCTGAGTTGGAGAGCTATTTGATGTCATATTTTCATATTAATTTTTTTTTCGTTTTTACCTTTTTGTTTGTTTGTTTGTTTTATAATTGTGTATGTACTGCTTCTCAATTGTAAATGCGTAAACAGTGTAAGACTGGTACATGCATTCTTTTCGCCCTTGCT